GCTACCATACATTGAGGCAAATATCCATTCTGACAAGCACTGAGCAGAATACTTCATGGTATTTACGGAGTGCATGTAGCAAAAATCCCTAATGGCCTAGTAGGAAATTAATCAGAATATAAATTTTTGATAGAACAGCTGAAAGAAAAGAAAAATGAAAAGAGCTTAACTATCATAACTGAAAAGAATCCACCAGTACCACACAGACTATTTAAAGCTTGACCTCTAAATAGGGATGGTTTATCTAATGACACAGCATGACTGTAATTACCTTCTATGATTCTAATTCCTTTCTGAAGCATACACTATATCTCTATTTGTACAAAATCCCCTTTGAATTAAACTGTTTGTCATATTTTAGAATAGTTTGCAATTTTCTGCAAATTCCTTATAACAATTGATATAAGGAAAATAACTCATACCTCTCATCAGTTCATCTTGGTGGCCATTTATTCAACCAATATTTAATTTTAAATGAACTTTGAAAATTTCTTTATTGTATAGTAATTGATGTATTATATTTGAAAATGTATATGTAAGTATTTAATTGCATTTAAAATTAGTGTTATGGTTAACAGTATATTTCAGGTTGGCCTTCATTGGTTTTAACTTTGTGCTGTCAAGTTACTGCGCGTAAAGGTGAGCTTGGCCAATTTTGCATGGTTGTGATTGATTGTCAGGCTCTGGGGTTCACTGGCAGAACCTGCTGCATAATCATTTACAAATGCAAATATAAATGCATTGCTTTTCCAGCTTTTTCTAAAGAGTCTCTGAACTCATTAAGTCATAGTGCAATTTTTTTCCTCTTTAAAGCCAGTAGCATAACAACTTCAAACCTCTTTTTATTCATTGATCCTGGTGAACAGGACTAAGTATTTTAGGAGTTAAAGCATTACAGCTCTGTATGCATAAGAAATTCATCAAAACCACCACCAAACTTCTGCCATCAACATAAAAATGATCTCTTCACCCATCTCTCTTACTCCCTTCCCAATTTCCTTCAGTAACCATGATAGATATTACCCATGCATAACAATGAATTACTCCTGGTGGTGCTCCGGGAACCATATGGGATGCTGGGAATTGAACCCAGGTTGGCCGTGTGCAAGGCAAACACCCTACCTTCTGTGCTATCTCTCCAGTCCCTTATTCTTAATGTTTTAAATGAATGATTTTCCCCCAAGACTTGTGCTCAGAGGAGAAATGTGAAGTAAACTAAATGCCTCAAATGGTTTTGCAATTATCCTTGATAAAGTTTGAATTTTGGTCTTCCTGTGTACTGAGTGTTCAGGTCTTGAAAATTCAATATGCGCTAAAAAATGTTACCTCTTTGCTATATTAGGTGGAGAATATTTAGAGACTTTTATATTTTTAAAGAGAAAAATAATAATGAAAATTTAAAAGGAATAGCAAAATTTCAAAAATTAATTAGTGTCAAATCCCCAGCCATGCTGGCAGAGGCTAAATTTGCAGTTTTGTTTTTAAACCCTGAAGTTATACTTCCTCATTAGTCTAATCAAAGTTTGAAGGGAGTATCTGATAGCACTTAGATAAAATTAAATGAATCTCTGTGTATGTGGAAGTTAAGGACATGTATAGTCTTTGTTTATTCCAAAAATATTTGCAAGATAGTCACACAATGTAGGTTAGTGTCACCCTAAGAAGACAGTTACTGTGGATAGATACAATTCCCATATACTTTTTGTCACCTGTCTTCATGCCCTTTTTCTGCATTCTCTTTATTTTGTACATGTCTCCATCAACAGCTGGAGAGACAATGCAGTGTGCAAAGCATTTATTTGCCTTGCATGTGGTAGACCCTGAGTTCAATCTCCAGCATACATATGGTCCCTTGAGCACCACCAGAAGTGATCTATGAATAACAAGCCTGGAGTAAGCCCTAAGCACGGCTAGGTGCAGCCCAAAAGCAAAACAATTTTTAAAAAAAAATTGTTCTTTAGCACTTCATGTACACTGCATGATTCTCTCAGATCTAGCCTTTATTAACTAGATGGTCAAAATATTCAAAGTTTAATGAACCCAGCAGGAGACATAATATACAATGGGTGATTTTGAAATGAACTGAGCTTTGTCAAATCTAAGTTTTGACTTAGATTTCATGTAAAATGTCAGTGATTTTAATAAGTAATTAAATATCTCCAACCCCCAGTGTCCATTTAAAAATGGAAATAAGAATAATAATTACTTAGTATATGAAAATGCACTAATTAAATTAGCTAATTAAAAATAATAAGTGTGCCAGGGAAATTAAAAAATTATTCTTAAATTATCTCTAGTTTTTATGACAAAACTGAAAACCCCCAAAGTAATTCTGTTTTACATATGATAAAACCAAGTCATAATAAGACAATTAACTCAGAGAAACAATTTTAACCCACACATCTTTCTTTCACATTTCCCTAGGTGAGGCATATGCATGGAAGCACTTTGCAAATGATAACATTTTGTAAGATAGTTCATTGTTCTCATTAAGCTTATTGGGTCCTGGTAGATAATATGGAAGGGCGTATATGGTGGACAAGACCCTACCTCTTTATAGGACAGAACAGGTGTCCTGTATGGTGACAACATTATTGGCAGTGATATTATTACCAAGTTAGAGCAACGGCTGCTCTATGAACTATCAGAAGTATAGTGATCCCAAATTGGAGAGACTAATTATATATAAATTTGAAAATTACACTTTTGTTTCAAAGAAGCTACATTAATAAGACATCACGATCACGATCATCCTGTTGTTTGTCAATTACCTCGAAGCAGGCACCAATAACGTCTCCTTCTTTCTAGCCTGAGATTTTAAAAGAGCCATATTCAATGCTCTTTCGGGGCTAGGAGAATGAGACCTATCATTCTCCTATCTAACTACACAAGAAAAACAGACCCAAAACACTAAATGTCAGAATTCCCAAAATGCCGAGGCAAAAAATAAATGGAAATAATTCTAATAATTCTAATAAAGCATAAGATATATAAAATAAATTTAGCAAGAAATTTAACTGATGGCCCTGCCTTGAGTAAGGTGCATTGAATTATTCTCTCTGATTTCTATCTTATTGAAAACCAATTCCTGTATTATTTACAAATATATATGATTATCCTAGTTATTTATATTTTAAGATTAGGTTACTTGTATTATCTTGTTATCTTGAGCAAAATTGATAATAAAAACAAAAGAAATGGGGTACTTTTAGTATTTTTAAATTTTTATATTTGATTCTTCAAATAATAAGATAAATATAAAATAGTATGAATCTCATAAAAATTTATCATTTAAGAGATTATACTTATAATGAGGCATTTCTATACACTTATATTAAAGCTAAGTTCCAATTTGATTTCTAGACAATGATGGATAACATCAGTTTATTGAAATTTTTTCTGTTTTGAAGCAGTGGGGTTTGGGCCACATCTGCCTCTGATCAGTGAGAGTCTAGTCTTACCCTTAGATCTTTGATCAGAAATCATTTCTGGTGGTGCTCAAGGGACCACATGTAGTGCATAGGGTTAAATTTGGGTTAGATTCATGAAAAGAAAATCCCTTGTCCACTGGCTGTACCATTTCACTAGCCCCTAGTGAAACAATTGTTGTAAATGAATAATATTAAACAAGTGACGTTTTAGTTTTGATCATCTTAAAGTCAAATTTCTCAATGAAAGCAATGAAAGTGATGATAAATGTCCTATACAGAAAACAAGTTGGAAGAAAAGAATAGTAAAATAAGGGAACAGAGAGATTGCTAACAAAACTGAGTGCATGCTCTGTATGTTTTAGTGGGATTGGATTCTTGGTGTCACCTAGGGCCCCTGAACACTGCCATGAGCAACTCCCAAGCACAAACCCAGGAGAAGACCCTGAGCACTGTTGAGCATAGCCCATCGGGGTGGAGGACAGAGAATGAAATGGCAATTTCATGATTTATGAGTTCTTTTAAGATTTATTATATTATAAAGATTAATTTTTATTTTGTAGAGCAGTAATTTTGTAACCTTATTTCATAGAATCTATAAAAAAATGCCCCCCTCTGCAAAAAATTAAAATAAATAAATAAATAACACATATACCACTGTAGAAGGGCTGGAGTGATAGCATAGCGGGTAGGGTGTTTGCCTTGCACGTGGCAGACCTAGGTTCAATTCTTCCGCCCCTCTCGGAGAGCCCGCCAAGCTACTGAGAGTATTCCACCTGCATGGCAAAGCCTGGCAAGCTACTTGTGACATATTTGATATGCCAAAATAAAACTATAACCAGTCTCAAAATGGAGATGTTACTGGTGCCTGCTCAAGGAAATTGATGAACAATGGGAGGATAGTGCGACAATGCAGTGCTACCACTGTATAAAACAAAATTAGTAAATACTAACTAATGCCCTTTGGAGATTATCAAAGAACATAAAAATACATAAGATTTTGACATGCTTATTTTTAAAAATAAAAGAACTTTTTACCTGTATCTTTCCTAACATAAGTTGCACAATTTTTTAACTGTAAAATTTATCATTAAAGATGTAATTGTAATTATATTAAAGATATAATTCTCATAACCAGCTATAGAAAACAAAGTATTTTGCAATGCCTTTTCAGCGATTCTGATTGTTGGGGGGGAAATTCTAAACAATAATGGTACATCTTTTGTAGAAATAATGAATGTAATCAATGTAGAGAAGAGTTAAGTGGAAATCATCTGCCTCACAGTCATTGGGAGGGGTGGGATGGGAGTGTATATTGGGGTTCTTGGTGGTGAAAAATGAGTACTGGTGGAGGGAGAGGTGTTTGACCATTGTATTACCGACCAAGACTTAAACCTGAAAGCTACCTGAAAGCTTAGTAACTTTTCCCACAGTGATTCAATAAATAAATATAAGAAGAAAAAAATAAAGATGTAATTGTGGGAAATGTAACTGAACATTGCTGGAACTTAGTATTACCTTTCTGAAACCAACCTTGTGTCACTAATGATTCTTCATTAATTTCTTTTACAGCGGATTGTGGAGGACCTTTTGAATTGTGGGAGCCAAATACAACATTTACTTCTACGAACTTTCCAAATAACTATCCCAATAAGGCTTTCTGTGAGTATATTGTTCTTCGAAGCCCTGTGTGTGTGGGGAAGAGGGGGGTAGGGAAAATAGGTAAATCATGAGTAGAACGTTCTCTCGACACAACAAAAGTGTAAATTTTCCAAGTGTGAATTCACTTACCACATCGGTGAAACTGCTTACCATAATGAGAACAAGAAGAGTAACAATTAGTGATAGCTGAAATTTTGGGCATTTATTTTATTGCAAGGACTAATTTATACAAATTGAGCTGATTCTCTGAATATTTCTTTGAAGGTGTTGTTCTAATTCTCAAATATAAAAGCAGAATGAAATCACTAAACTAAAGAGCCACGTTACTCCATGTAATGCTCACATAGTCATGAACCTTATTTATGGATAGAATTTCAGTAATATATATAAGAATTTCATAGAATAAAATATATGGGAAATATCAAAAGTAGTCAATTGTAAATATTAACTAAAATCAATAAAGCAGGCAATGAGACTAATTAATTAGGTTCCCAGTATAAAAGATGAAATGAGGACTACTAAAGTATAAGAAATGAATAGTTTATTAAAACTGAGCACAATCTTTCTCTAGGTCATTATTAGTAAATAAGGAAGTTAATAAAAGCTTTATGAAGTTTTTGTTAAAGATGATGATTCCTTTTTGTACCAAGATTCCATTGTACCAAGTATAAGATACAGACATATTTCTCTTATTTTACCATGTTAACATGACTCTTTTAATAGAAACTTCTGCCAATGAAAGAGAGACCCAAGGATAGAGAAAAGTGTGTTGTTAGAAAATGTTAACTTTAATCCTTCAAATTATCCAAAGATAAGTAAAAATAACTTTCATGGAAGAGTAGTGTCATAATTTGATTAAGATGTGGTTCAAATAAGCAAATAAATGAACAGCACTTAATTTAATTTCTTTGAGTAACCAGAAATTATAATATCTATTTCACATTGAAAAAAATTGGGGGGTTGGAGCAATGGTACAGCGTGTTATCTTACATATGGCTGACCCGGGTTTGATTCCCAGCATCCCATATGGTCACCTGAGCTCCACCAGGAGTAATTCCTGAGTGCTAAACCAGGAGTAAACCCTGTGCATCGCCAGGTGTGACACAAAAAGAAAAAGAAAAAAAAATTCAACACACTCCTGGTATAAGGAGCAAGAGACATTGTACAGAGGTTAAGGTACTAACTTTTCACAAGGCATACTTTTGTTCGGTCCCCCAAATTATACCTGGTCCCCCAAACAATACTAGAAGCAATCTCTAAGCACAGAGCTACAAGTAATACTGGTATTGCCCAATCCTTATCCCAAGAGACTTAAAATTATTTGAAAAATAGGGACTGGAGAAATAATCCAGCAGGTAGGATGCTTGCTTTGCTTGTAGCCTACCCTAGTTCTATCCCTGAAATCCCCTGAGCACTGCCAGGAGTCATTCCTGAGTGTAGAGCCAGGAGTTACTACTGAGCATTGCTCTGTGTGGCCCAATGTACACCCCCCAAATTCTGAAAAATAAATCATTAGAAGCATAATTCAAAGATATTTTGTGTTAATCTGGAAACAGATATTTATTAAACACTTTGCTAGACACTTAAATAAGTAGAGCAAAACCCAACAGTAGTCTGGTTTGAGATTGTTACATTTTAAAGAATCACATAATGACTAAGTTATTGTTGTAAGGGGGCAAGGTACTAAAAATGGAGGGACACCACATGTACTTACTATAGGAAAACTCAGAGAGGGGAGGCCTCTTCATCTCTAGGTGTGGCTCTGGAAGTGCCCAAGCGACATCAAGATGGGTTCTGGTGGTCTTTGGCACTGCATGGCCCAACAGTACCACTCTTTTGGGTTCAAGCATAACCAAATCCCAGATGACTGAGTATCACTAGAAGCAGTTCCTGGGGTATATCCTGAGTATTGTTCTGAAACACTCTCAAAAAAAATCAAAGCAAAAAACATATGTAAAAGAAGCCTGAATGACAAAAGATACTTAAATGGTAAGTTTGATCACTTTACAAATTACACTGCAATCACCATCATTTCATCTAAATTTAATGATGGTGATTTAAATACATGGGAGCAAAATATTATTATCATTTGCTATTTATAAATGTTAGATTTTAGCATTGAAAGGAAATATATAAGATTAAAGCTTTTCATTTCATATAAGCAAGGTAAATTTAATTACAAATCTAATTGAAATTTTACTAAAAATAATCTTGACTAAATCAATGTATTTTTTACACAGACCTAGAGGGAAAAACATGTTGTACTCTTAGTTTTCACAAAATGGTAAAAATATTTTTTGAACAGGATTTGTTATTCTCAAAAGCATAAAGCTTTTATGAAGACTCAAAAGAAATGCATTTTCAAATGTGTTGTTATTTATTCATTTAAAGGCATATGGAATTTAAATGCACAAAAGGGAAAGAACATACAACTTCATTTTCAAGAATTTGACTTGGAAAATATTGCAGATGTGGTTGAAATCAGAGATGGTGAAGGAGATGACTCCTTGCTCTTAGGTAAGTCTGGAATTGAAATATCATGAAGGTTCCATTGAACTAAGGAAGAGAAAATTTCTCATTAAAAGTAACCAGCTTTTGGCAACCAATAAAATTAAAATAAAACAATAGCATACTTCCATTTTCTGTTTTATATGCAGTTTTCACTATCAGATGTTCTTGCAGTTATTACAGAATTACATTATTCTTGAGGTGTCTTAGTAAACCAGGATTAGTATTTTTGAGTCAGCAGTTCCATGAATCTATTATGAATTCACTACAATAATCTTGCACTTTGGAGATTAAGAGCTAAGGACACTCATTATGCAGTTTTCTTTGCATCATACATAGATCAAATGTCTAAAGATTGCTATTAGGTCATATTAACTTCAAAGTAGCAAAGTAATGTTTGTTATACAAAATATTGTTACACAAAATTTGAAAATTAATTCAATATATATTTTATTATTATTTGTAATATTGAAAATATTGGAAAATGTGCCAAAATTTACCAAAATTAAAAAATATCTATTGTTTATTTATTTTTTAATAAACATGGAGGGACTCATATTCTAGAGAAAACTTCTGTCCTAACATCATAAAATGCGAGTTAGCAAATAAAAATCTTTTGAACACATAAAGCACCTATTACCTTAGTAAACTACTGCCAACTTTAGGTTCAGTGTCTCTTGATAAGATAAATTAAATTGTGAAGATGCATAAGGGGTCAAGTGGAATACATGAAATAGTGCACTTTACAAGTAAAGATTTATTATGTAATTGTGCTTTGAATAAATATTAATCTTTTTATAAAATGTCTTTCAATGACTATGCAATCATGATATAATTATGTGAACCCTGGAACCAGGGATGAAGATACTTAGGAACACTTTCATTAATCTGAAGGGCCAGAGAGAAGGAGAGGACTCCTCAACCAGGCTAATTCATCATTCCTGGTGTAGGATTCTTAAGTAAAACCTCACAAACATCTGGAATGCTAATTTTTAGAGTCACTCAGAGAACAAATAAAAATGAAAGTCTTGGTAGGGCCAGGAAGCTAGTGCCAGCCTCAACCGAGAACTTCAGATTTGGCTTTTGAATATGTAGTTTGAAAACTCATTCATAGTAGGTGTCCCATTTGAATATCATGTTGTCCTATCAAAAAGAATTTTGGGTTCTTAATGTCTACAAAAAATCTAATCTCCTGAAACAAAATCTCTTTCAGATTTTCCTCATGATACTTTTAATGATATTAATGTATTTCTAATTAACCTATGGCTTTATTGTTTGTTGAAGAATATCTGTTTTTATAAACTCCAAATCCATGGATCAGTGGAGAGGTTTTTCAAAACTACCCTGTAGTTTTATATTAGCAGTCTAATTCATCCTCTTTCAGATTCATTATGGCTCAACTCAAAGATGTGAAACATATTAGATACAATTTACTAAGGGAGTTAAGGTTCCTTAAAGTTCTTTAAAAGTAAGCAAATAATCATTTTGCTGAAATAATAAAAATTTCAAATAGTCAGTGCTATAAGTCAGATACTATTATGAATAATTTTTAATAGAATTATAAATTTTTCAATATTTCTCAGGGAATGTTGAAAATTATCAAGTTAGCTTTCCTAGAGGCAGTGCCCAAAATGTAAAAGCATATGCAGAAATATTTACATATAACTGTTTTATAAGCAGTTACATGGAGCTGAGCAGTGTATGTATATAGGATGAAATCTAAAATAAAGATTTCCCTTTATACTGAAAGTTTTAACTCACTAAGTTCATTTTCTTTGGGGCAGCTGTGTACACAGGGCCAGGACCTGTCAAGGACGTTTTTTCAACCACCAACAGAATGACTGTGCTTTTCATCTCGGATGATGAGTTGGCAAAAAAAGGATTTAAAGCCAATTTCACGACTGGCTATCACTTGGGGGTTCCAGGTAAGTGTGCCCTTCAATCTAAAGATTTCTTTGCAACTTTTGGAGTCAAGCAATAAAAATATGTAGATTCCCATGCCTAAATATGAGTGAATAAAGATTTTCTTCGTTCTTTTGCAAATCTTTCTTTAGACATTATCTAAGTTTTGTTGAAAGAAAGACTTTATTCTTGTCAGCAGACTAACTTGCTCTTCTCTGGCGTGTGATCATGAATGTTCTTCACAGAAAATTAACGTGTTAAGCATTTAGAACGGTTGGATGTTACCATGGTGGTTCCACAAGCAACACCAAAGGGGTGTCCCCCAGCACCACAGGGTTGGGGCACACAGCAATCTCAAGTCCTCGCATTAAACCTCTGGCCTCATTAGCATAGCATCTTCTGGTGCTTCCCTTGTACCTCCTGAGCATTTACTTTGAAGTCCCCTATCATCCCCCACTCCTGCGGGGGTGGGGAATGGGGATCATCATTATCTTATTAGAGTCGACCAGTGTAATATTAGTGCTAATATTAAGGATAAGGAAATTCCATGTTGATATTTACTGACATGAATAATCTCCTTGCCCTAATTTTCATTTCATGTAAGAATCAGCAAGAAAGCAGTGTGGGCCGCCTGCCCATCACAAATCTATATCTCCAGCTCAGTCTATATCTATACATCTATAGTTTGGATATAAATCTTAAATATATATAAAGATCAACAATAGAGATCTTGACCACATGCTACTCTTCTTGAATAATGATCTTTTGTATACTGATATACCTCAACTCACTGGTTTTCTTTAGTGTAAACAAATATGCCAGAAATATAGCATGCACCTGAATTTTCATAGAAGAGTGTGGTCAATTTTATTTTCTATACAATCTCTGAAAGGGAAAAATTTAGAGCATGGATTTTTTTTTTATCCTATATCTAAACCCAGACTCACCAGTGCATTATTTTGTTTCTCCACTGACAATCTACCACTTATTTCATCTCAGTTTACTTTCATCATATATGCTTTCAGTTTACTGCAATTATAAAGATCAGCCTTTATTTTACCTACACTTTGTCCCTGAAAATAAACTGTAAGAATCTTTGGCTAAGCAATTTAACTGAAAAAAAAAATAGTAATCTGATCAGTCTGTTCTAGATTTCATTATTAGTATTCATTTTCTTCAATTTATTGAATAAATATTAAGGTAAAGGTAAAGGCCCTCCCGTTGATTGTCAATTTGCTCGAGCGGGCCCAGTAACGTCTCCATTGGAGACTTTGTTGTTACTGTGTCTGGCATATCAAATACTCTCGGTAGCTTGCCGGGCTCTCCGAGAGGGGCGGAGGAATCGAACTCGGGTCGGCCATGTTGGCCGCTTGTAAGGCGAATGCCCTACCACTGTGCTATTATATTTTATAAAATATTTATAAAAATTATGATGCATAATTTAAAATAAGCATTTTTATATTACAGTAAGTTCAACTTCTGAGAGTCCAAATCTATCTTTCACTCTACAATTGTTCCCTTTCACCTAATTATCCTCCTCACTTTTCCTCTACAAGCTAGTAACCACTGATCAGCTTTATACACTAAAAATTTATTTTTGCTTTATTTGGGTCACTAATTTTATCAATTCGTCTCTATAACTCATATGATTGAAACTTTGTGTTAGTCTTTCTCCACTTGACTTGCTTCATTTAACATACACCTTCTAGAAGCAACTATTAGTAGTTTACAGGTAATGCTGGCATAAATCAGTGAAACAATAAATTCATGAAATAGCAAAGAAGTACTAAAACCTGTGGAGGAAAAGTGATGTAAAAAGAGTAAGATCTGAGAGATCTACAGAAAATCAGAGATTGTCTTCAAATAAAATCTATCAAAAAGGAGAAATTAATAATATTTACAATTAATAAATTTGAAAATTAAACTATTTACTTTTAAATAGTATTTAAATTGTAATTATGAGTATATAGTCAGATACTAAATCAAAGATAATTAAATCAGTTCTCTAGAAAATATTAGTAAAGGCATTTTAAGTACATCCCATATTTTACTTGTCAATATCTGAGCATGGAGTACATAATTTCTCTTTTATTTTACCTCTATCTGCCTCTCTCTTCACCTTCTCTTCTATCTTATGTATTCAGAATAAAGCTATTTACTTCACTTAAACAAAGACAGTTACAGACTACCATTTTGAATTGTCACTGATTCTATGCCTTGATAAATTTGTTTTGTTGTGGCTGATTTCACGCTTCAGTGATGATCATGCTTCCCTGTCACTGTCACTGTCACTGTCATCCCATTTTTCATTGATTTGCTCAAACAGGTGCCAGTAACGTCTACATTTGTCCTACCCCTGAGATTTTAGCAGCCTCTCTTTACTTATCCTTCCCAAGGGTGCCGCATTGGAGGCTCTTTCAGGGTTAGGGGAATGAGACCCTTTATTGTTACTGTTTTTGACATATCGAATACGCCCCTTGCCAGGCTCTGTCATAAGGGCAGGATACTCTTGGTTACCTGCTGTCTTCTCCAAGAGGGAGAAGAGAGTGAGAACTAGACTATAAAGGTTGCATGGCCTCATTGCTACGGGCTTCCAGGAGCTTTGTTTTATGGTCTCTGGATCTTGGCCATTGATGGGATTACATGGTTCCTGGGGCAGTTTGTTGGCGTGACTGCCAAATTACTGGAAAATGGAGGATATGGATGGAGGAGGACCAGTCCGGATCCAAGCAGGCTTGGAGATCTCAGCCCCGGGTCCACCACACCTGGGTTCCTCTGCCAGTTCCTTCATGCGTGAGGCTCGTCTGAGTATGTGGAGCATGCCTTGAGCATGGCTATGGCTGGGTTCCAGAGCCGGGGCTCTGCTTGGGGCGGGGAAGGAGACTCAACATGCCCATCTCCAAGTGGCCCTGGTAAAGGCAGCCAGGAGTGGGGGCAGGAGACTCTGCGTCACTCTCTTGAGGAAGCTTTGTATTATAGTCTCTGGAACTTGGCTGGATGCTTCTCTGATACTGCTTTATTTACTCTCTTTCTTTCTCTTGTGATGTAGTGTTAACATTCATCGTGTTTAATTCAAAAATAGATTTATTATGTTATTTTCTTATGTAACCTTTAAAGTGTAGATAGGAAATAAATAGTACTGCACTGCACTGTCCGCCCTTTGTTCATTCATGTGCTCAAGAAGTGACCAGTAACGTCTCACAACAATTTGTGAGACTTGATGTTACTGTTTTTGGCATATTGAATGTTGAATATGTCATGCGTAAATTGCCAGGCTTTGCCATGTGGGAGAAATACTCTTGGTAGCTTGCTGGGCTTTCCTAGAGGGATGGAAGAATCAAACTGGTGTTGGCCGCATGCAAGGCAAATGACCTACCCACTGTGCTATCACTCCAGTCCAGGAAATAACTATGAAGGAGAAATATATTTTTTATAATGTAGTACTTTTTTAAAAAAAATTGTATTATTTTCTTTTCTTCTGGGAGAAGAGGCAGTCACATTGCTACTCAGGAGACCAGCGATCCTGTCCTAATGATTGTAGGCTGTAGGATAACAATGGGTTTGTCCTTTCAGCCTTGCCACAGGGAACTTAGTTTACCTTAAAGCAATGTCCTTTCCATATGGAAGATAGTTAATATTATGCTTTGTAACTTGGGAGTTGATTGACTCCAATAACATTTACTCCTGGGCATCTGCTCTCAATCCAGTTGCTCTTAGTTCCTAGCACACCAAAAGCAGGGTCCCAACGAGGCACAGAATGGGCCCAGGGAAAGCTGTGAGCTACTCTGGCTTCGAAATGGACCACAATATTCAACTATAAATTGAGAACATGGTCATAGACAAATGCTGTCATGATCCAAAAGTAACGATGAGACTAGGACCCTGCTGGGCTTAGGAAGACTAAACTGGCCTGAGGACTGTGGTAAAACATCCTCAGGAAGAACCAAACTTTAAATTGATATCTCTTACTGTGCTCATATAGAATGGCATTGCTAGAAATATTAGAAGTAGATTTACTACAACTATTTAAGTGGATTACTAGTTGAGGAAAGAAGAAAGCAACACACCCTTAATGGGGTCTCACCCTTAAGTGGATCTTCTAGTAATCCAGAGTAATCTCTTTAGATTAGGTTTTATCCTTGATTTAATCTCCTGGAGGAGTGGTCTTACCTCTCTGTTGATTTGTTAATGTTCAACCCACCTTTGAGTCACCACCTTATGTGATTACTATATAAACTAAGACTGTAAGAACAGAGGGGGGCCAGAGTCAGAATCCAGAGAGCAGAGTCAGAGTCCATAGGCAAAGTCAGAATCCAGGGGCAGAGTCAGAATCCAGAGCCAAGGGTAGAAGAGCTCCAGAGAGAAAGATCGGAAGAGACCAGACGAGAGACAACAGAGACAGAGTCAGAAATAGAGAGACAGACAGAAGAGTGCACAGAAGCAAAGCACAAAGGAGGAGCCATCCCAATCCGGTCTATACACAGCAGCTCGTGAGCACCGAACGTGGGCGGCAAGAGAGAGCTGCCCCAAGAGCAGGCCAACAACACATCATCATCTTCACAGCCCTCTCCTGCTCCCGCTTAAGATATAGTTTTTACAGTAGGCCATGTAGGCCAGGCAGGGGTTCAATCCTGGGTCTAAGGATTCAGTGCTAACTGAGTCTTGCAGTCCTGAGAATTGCTCAGGTCACTCTGACAGTGCTCTAATGCCTCTAGGGCTGCACCCAGAGATGTTTAGGAGACTTTATGGTTTTGGGGATTGAACCAGGGTTGGCCACATGCAATTCGTGAATCTTAACCCTTACATACTTTCTCCAGTGTCTGCCTGAGAGACTTTTTAAGATAATGCGATTTCAGATAGGTATTGTTTAGTCAGAACTAATAGGCGTAATGCTACATAGAAAGTAAAATATGTAATGAAAAACGGGGTAATAAATATAAAACAGTTTTATTTTCATTTTATATGATCATTATAACTCAATATTTTCTAGGAAATTAATATAAAAGGTAGATTCTGATAGTTT